GACGCACTCAAACCTCACAATCACCGCACACTCAAACCTCACAATCACCGCACACTCAACAACACAATCACCGCACACTCAAACCTCACAATCACCGCACACTCAAACCTCACAATCACCGCACACTCAAACCTCACAATCACCGCACACTCACCACACACACTCAACCACACACTCAACCACACACTCAACACACACACTCACCACACACACTCAACCACACACTCACCACACACACTCACCACACACACTCAACCACACACTCACCACACACTCAACCACACACTCAACCACACACTCACCACACACACTCAACCACACACTCAACACACACACTCAACACACACACTCACCACACACACTCAACACACACACTCACCACACACACTCAACACACACACTCACCACACACACTCAACACACACACTCACCACACACACTCAACACACACACTCACCACACACACTCAACACACACACTCACCACACACACTCAACACACACACTCACCACACACACTCAACACACACACTCAACCACACACTCAAGAAGCCCACGAGACATATAATAGTCAGTAAATACTCAGGAAGACTACATCTAACCTTCCCTCTTCTGCCTTTTATAATTTCTAAATAATGATACTAACAAACAAGCACACAAACACACACAAACATGTCTACAGTTACAGGACAGAAGGCTCAGAGAGCACATGATCACTACATACAACATTCCGAGAGGAATAGATGAAGTGGACAAGAGGGGGGAAGCTATTAACAAGTATAACAAGCTGAAATCAATTAGGCTGGCGTAAGGAGATGTCTGTACACTGTCTGATGACCGACATGTATATATATTGTCCTGAAAGAAGAAGGTGTGGAAGCCACCTCCGTTTGAAAGAAGGTGTGGAAGCCACCTCCGTTTGAAAGAAGGTGTGGAAGCCACCTTCATTTGAAAGGAGTGGAAGCCACCTCCGTTTGAAAGAAGGTGTGGAAGCCACCTCCGTTTGAAAGAAGGTGTGGAAGCCACCTCCGTTTGAAAGAAGGTGTGGAAGCCACCTCCGTTTGAAAGAAGCTTTGGAAGCCACCTCCATTTGAAAGAAGAAGGTGTGGAAGCCACCTCCGTTTGAAAGAAGAAGGTGTGGAAGCCACCTCCGTTTGAAAGAAGCTTTGGAAGCCACCTCCATTTGAAAGAAGAAGGTGTGGAAGCCACCTCCGTTTGAAAGAAGGTGTGGAAGCCTCCTCCAGTTGAAAGAAGAAGCTGTAGAAGCCACCTCCGTTTGAAAGAAGAAGCTATAGAAGCCACCTCCGTTTGAAAGAAGAAGCTGTAGAAGCCACCTCCATTTGAAAGAAGAAGGTGTGGAAGCCACCTCCATTCACAGCTTCAGGATCAGCCACGACAAAGAACTTAAGCATAGGAGGAGGAGGAGTGAGGGGGCCCTGAATCCCTAGATTTCATTTCCCGATAAAGACTGATAGGTAAGTACTAATAGATAGTACACGAACCCGTATGAATGGGGGAGGGGAGGATAGGGGGGGGGGAGACGCAACGCTCGCTGAGTGGCCCCCCCCCCGGGGTGCGGGGGGGGGGGTTGTTGTTGACATCGTGAGGAGGGAGGGAGAGTGTGCTCGCTGAGTGGCCGGCCAGGCCCCTGTAGCTCAGACGAAAGGTAAACAAAGCAATTATGATGACTCAATATGGCTCGTCCTAGAGGACGACTCCCTCTTCAGTCATCGTCCTTACCCTCGGGGATGGACACTCTAGGGATAGGTAAAGCAATAGATATATATATAAGCTAGATAGATATCGTCAGGCTCGCATAGAAGATCTATTGAATGGGAATAGACTGTGTAAACGAGGGGATAGAATAGGCTACAGCCAAATAGGTTGTCCCAAAAGCATCAGTCTGGGTGATTGGGGTCGTTTAGTATTCAAGGCAAAAGCCCCATTGTTTGAAGACATTGCAATTATCAAAATCAATGTTAATTTTTGTTTAATTTCCATGTTAAAAATAAGATCTCTGGTATACATTCATTTTTTTTTAACTAACTTGCACAAAAAAAACAGGAAAACAATGGCAGCTAAATTATATACAAACTATTTGATACTATATTACTTTACTAGACGGGATATAACCGGCGGTGCCTGGGTCTCTGTCTGTCTGTCTGTCTGTCTGTCTGTCTGTCTGTCTGTCTGTCTGTCTGTCTGTCTGTCTGTCTGTCTGTCTGTCTGTCTGTCTCTCTCTCTCTCTCTCTCTCTCTCTCTCTCTCTCTCTCTCTCTCTCTCTCTCTCTCTGAACATTAACCACAACTGTGGTTAATGTTAGTGTTACTTTCAAACCACCTTGTAACAACCCCCCCCCCCACCATTTCAGTCTTCACTGGAGGTGCCTGGGCCGACAATAGGACCCAGCCCTACTTTTATGGGGGGGCAAGGGGGTGTCGAGGACCAACCCCCTTATGGCACCACACAATCGCAAGCCCGTATGGCAAGTTACCTGCTGG